TCACGTGTCGATCATATCTCACTAATCTGCATTTCATATATTAATATGCAAAGATATATATGCCGTACATTTTTGAACCAATAAAAAATGACAATACAAGGAGTTTTGTTTGTTAATTCGAAAATTTAAGGTCATTTCTCAAAACCAATATTAATATGTCAATCTTTACTACTTTAATTTTATTAACTGGTTTAGAGTTATAAAATCCAATTATTTGGCCTCGCCTATTTTTTAAAATAAATTCAGCAAAACCTAGACTTTCACGAGTTGAAATTTTCAGAAATGTTAATGTGTTATTTTTTATTGGTTGTTGTTATGAAACAATTGATATTATTATTTTCTAAATCGAATAAATAATTTGCGTATAATAACGAGCTTTAAATTAATTTGTGGAAATCAAAAGGTTCACTATAACAATAGGCTAATAAAGAAATGTAAAAGATTCGCACATTATAGACTGTGCGAATATTCCGGAAAAGTTAGTAAATTATAATTGTATCAATATAGTAATAGCGTTTTATATAGAAATTAATTCACACCAGATCCATTATACAAAAATAACACGGGGAAAGTTTGTTCTTTATATTATAAATTCATTGACACTCAAATGTTTGAAGATTACCTAAGGGGTGAGAAAAAGAAGAATGATAAATCATAACTAATTAACTCGAAACCATAAAGAACTTATAAAGAAATAAAAGAAAATCGGAAGAGGAATAATTAGAGATGTGCCGCGCATAATGTGTTACGCATAGTGTGCCACGCATGTGGTTTTAGATATATTTTCTATAATTTACTTATTAATAAACATTTCTAAAAAAAAAATTAAATATGCCATTTACTTTCTTATTATTATATGCGCATTTATAATATTTCCCTCTCTATGATATATATACACTATGCGCGAAAAAAAATCACGGTTACTATGAATGGCACATCTATAGGAATAATTTGCTGTCTAGCTTAATATAAGTGAGTGTATATTACCTTTTAAGTATAAAATATATTTGATAAAAAGA